CAGCATGCAGTATTTGTCTTTCTCTCCCTGGCTTATTTCACTTAACATAATGTCCTCCACTTTTATCTATATTGTTGCAAGTGACAAGATTTCCTTATTTTAAAGGCTGGACAATATTCCATTATATACATAGAGAATATATGTATATCACACATATATTTTTATTATATATAATTAATATTAATATATATTCAATGTGTATATACATTCCATTTTTACATATGTGTAGAGCACATCTTTATGTATTCACATTTCATATATATTATATTGTAATATATTAATAATGTTACTATCATGTATATGAAATGTGGATATATAGATAATCACTCTTTTGATCCTTTTATTTATCAATGGCCACTTAGGTTGTTTTCATAACTTGGCTATTATGAAAAATGCTGCAATGAACATGAGAGTTCAGATATATCTTTGATATAATGGTTTTGTTTCCTTTTAATATGAGATGAACCTCCATACTGTTTTTTTTATAGTGGCTGCACCAATTTACATTCCTGCCAACAGTACAGAAGAGTTTCCTTTTCTCCACATAATCGCAGCCTTTATCTTTTGTCTTTTCAATACTAGTCCTTCTAACAGGTTTGAGGTGATATTGTGATGATTTTCCTGACAATTAGTGATATTGAGCATCTTTTCAAGTACCTGTTGGCCATTTTAGCTCTTCTTTGGACCCACCCAATGCTGTTTGATATATTTCTTATCTCCTTTATTCTAAAACAGAATTTCCCTCCCCTAAGCTTTTATGTTATTTATTGGTTGAAGAAGCTGGACATTTTGTCCTGTAGCATCTGGCTAATTTCAACTTTACAGTATTTTCTAACATGTATCTCTACCTTTTATATTTCTAATAAGCTGGTTGTTTAATATAGAGGCCTTTTTTTTGGGAAAAAAATACTTCATGTTAACAGTTCTGGGAATGTTATGCTACAGCAAATCAGGGGGTCCATAATGTCCGATTTTCTGACTGAAAAGTTACATTTGTTGGTTTCAATTTACTTTTGACTTTTAGTTACTATAGTAAAAGGATTATTTTATTATTTTATTTTTTAAAGATTTTATTTATTTATTTGAGAGAGAGAATGAGAGATAGAGAGCACGAGAGGGAAGAGGGTCAGAGGGAGAGGCAGACTCCCTGCTGAGCAGGGAGCCCGATGTGGAACTCGATCCCGGGACTCCAGGATCATGACCTGAGCCGAAGGCAGTCGCTTAACCAACTGAGCCACCCAGGAGCTCGTAAAAGGATTATTTTAGAAATCACCAACGCGGTGAGGGCAGAGTTTTTTTTTTTTCCATATAGGATTAGAAATTTATCCCGGTTATGAATTTTTCTTTGTGGTTTTCAGTTCTTTCTCCAACATCACTTTGTATAGACTTAACAGAAATGCCTAATTCATAGCCATTGTGTTCCATACAACATTATCTCTGACCAAAGAACACTTAAAAGAAAGAGAGCAGCAATGAAATTGAGTTCATAGAATTCACTGCTCTTAGCACATGCTTCCACATCCAGAAATACCTTTGTTGACAGAGTAGTGGAATGGTCTGTTGACAGCTCAGTGCTGGTACCAGTCAGGAAACAGCCGCTTGTGTGGCTGGGGTATGGCCTTGAACCACTGTCTAGTATTTGATCTCATTTCCTACTGCCTGGATTCAGGGCTCTTCTTAATCTTCTCTTCACCATCCTCTCCACCACTGTGGATCTTGTAGATAGATCGCTTTGTAATAAAAAAGTTTGGAAAATCCACTTATATTCTGAGATTCTTGAGCATAGTATGTCACTAGTTTTATTGAAATATATTTTTTTTCTCTATTGCCATCTTAATTGGTCTGTCTGTTTCTGTGGGGAGATTTGGAGAAATTTAGAAACATAAATGAATGACCATTTTTCCCCAACTGCTCACTTACTTTTTAAACTACAGAAGTACATTACTCATTCAAATCTAGCTTTCAATCCAATATGTCATCAGATCTTTTCTCTCACATTTCTTTAGGAAAATACTCCTGGAGAATTTTCAGTTTGGTGTCAGCAAGACAGGTTTTGATTTCTGGCTAGGTGACTTACTTGATGTGAGAATTTGAATAATTTAATTTTCAGAAATTTCAGCTATCTTTTCTGAAAAAGGTGATAATCATACTTACCTCAGAGAGTAAGAGATAGATTAATTAATGTCTTAACCACAATGTTGAGACATGGATATTTTCCTTTTCCCATTTAATTTCCTATTCTCTCACATTTCAGTTGTTAATGACATCAGTTAAGAAACTGTTTCTATTTTTCTTTGTAAACACTATACCTTGGGAATAAATTCCTTAAGAGAAAAATTGTCTAGCTTCCAAAGATATTGAAGGAAGCACATTTGGTTTATTTCTTTTCGATAAAGTGTTTACCAAATGTATGTTGTCTAATAGCAATTCCATCAAGAAACTTCTGACAGCAAGCCATCAAAAAATCTAACCACATTAGCTAAAGAGATTGGTTTCATTAAAAATATTGATCACCCATGTCTTCCGAAGTGCTTATGCTGATTTGTCATATCAGACAAATACAGTTTAAAAATAGTCACTAACAAAATATTAGAGTGTGTTTGTGTATGTAATATATATTTGTAGCAGATATGTGTAGTACTTGACTTTAAAATACAAATTCCTAGAAATTGAGGACCATGTTTTTGTATTTTCTGTATCACTCCTAACATATTGTGTGAGATCAATAATATCAAACCAACACATTGTGCTTCCACAAAACTAGACATGAATTCATAAAGTGACAATAGAAGCGCCAGGCAAAATATTTCATTTGGAACTAACCACATAAAGAGGCAATAGGGAACAGTTTAAAGGGCACAGCTGTCTCATTCCATAAGTTTAGTTGGGAAATAGCCCAGAGAATATGGGAATATATAACTGTATATCTTTCCTATAGACTCATCCCTTCTGGGCTCCACAGGGTTTTACAACAGTACCTTTCCTCTTCACTGCCGATGTGTGATGCTCACACACTGACAGCAGTTACTTCTTCTACTTACTGAACTAAAATTTTAGTGTGACACTTTTTCCCTCAATGACTAATGAAGAGTCAGGAAAACATACCACATTCAATTCAGTTCCACACAACCTTGGGTTGATTATTTTCAAGATGAGAGCAGAGAAGTTAAAGTAAATGAAATACATAGTCTACATTTTCTTTAAATAGTATTTTACAGATTCACCTAGTAAAGCCATATCTTTAGTCTTTGCATTCAGGTGTAGCTTACATGGTCTCATTTATCACATATTAGCAAGCAAACTGGGCATTTAAAAATTAATATTGTATACACATTGTGTTTTCATAATGCTATATTTTTGCTTTTAACACTGTAGAAAATATAAAAAATATTACAAACATAGTATTTAGTCTTTTCAATCACTCTGTGAAGCAGGAAGAACTGGTTTTGTTTTTCTCAATATAGAGATGAAAATCTGATCCTAAGAAAAATTGTGCAATTTGTATAAGCTTATTAGCTGGAGGCCAGGCCAGAACTTGGGCCTCTGGGCTCTACTCTGGCACACTTTTAAAAACAATATATTGGTTTAATTCATTAGTACTGTGTTATGTATTGAGTGCCTACTATGTGTCAAGAAGGGCTATTCTGCTAAAAATGATAGAAAAGGTCACTTCCTTCCTGAGCTCTGTAACCTAATGAAACAATTATACAAATAGATGAAGTAATCACACGATGTGTTAAGTGCAATAAAAGCAATACAGAGTGTGAGTTACAGGACACCAAAGATGGACTGTGGCCATAGGGTTGCCACATTGAGAAAAAACAAAAACAAAAATAAAAGATACCAGTTAAATCTAAATTTCAAATAACCAACATTTACTATTTGTATGTTTATATTCTGTGCAATATTTGTAACACTAAAAAATATTGTTTAACTGAAGTTCAGATTCAACTGAGTATCCAGTGTTTTACCCTGGCAAGCTTATTTCAGAAGGGACATTTGACCTAAGATCTGAATAAAACTAAAGTGCTAACTATACAAAGATTCAAAGAACATTCCAATAGAAAATCAGCTAAATTCTGAATCCAGAGTGTTCCTTAAAAACCCAAAGAAGCCAGTGGGTCTTGATTTTGGTGAGTGAGGATGCTAACAGTTCAAGATGAGGTTGGAGAGGTAAGCAGAAGCCAGATAATGTAGAGTCCTCTAGGTAAGGGACAAGGGACTATATTCTTAGTATATCACATATCTCTTAAGAGGTTGTAAATTAGAAAAGCAATGGCTGACCAATGAGTTAAAAAGAACCTTCTGACTTCTGTATAAAAAAGAGGTTGAAGATGGGGGCAAAAATTAAAGCAGGGAACATGATTAGGAGATTATTTTCAAGGTTCAGGGGAGAAAATCTTGACTTGAATTCAAGGATGGTGGTATGCATAGAGAAGTGGATGGATTTGTATTTGACATTTCTGATGGATCCCAGAAGACTTGTTAATAGATTCAATATGAGAGATGAGAAATGGTATAAATGAAGAACTCCTAGGTTTTGGACTCGAGTGACTGGTGTATAGTGATGGAATTCCCTAAGATTAAGGAGAATGTATGAAGAAAAGCTCAAGGGTAGGTACTGATAATCAAATGATCTATTTTCATCATAAGTTTCAGAAGTCTGCTAGATTTAAAAATGGAGATGTCAGATCAATGATTGATTCTCACCCATGAAAACAGGATGAGAGTCATCAATGAGAGTGATGTTTAGAGCAAGACCAGGGAAAATATCACAAAGAAAAAGAACTTACGTAGAGAAAATCAAAAGTTTCATGACTATGGCCTGATGAATTCAGAGGAGTAAAAACCAGCAACCCAAAATGAGAAGGAGGTGCTAAAAGGTTAGGTCACAGAAGGTAAGAGAGAAGAATGTTTTCTAAAGAGTAAGATCACCTATTTTTGAATATACTGCTGAGACTTACAGTAGATTCAAGATAGAAAGATATCGAAGATCTTCTGCGTGTAGATGGTGTCAGTCGGAGCGTGAGTTGCTGCATGAGGGTATTGAAGACAATGGCCAAGAACAAACTAAGAGGGCAGAAGTCCAGGAATGTATTTCATATAGCCAGCCAAAAAAACTTTAAGTCTAAAAACAAAGCAAAACCAATTACCACTAATCTTAAGATAAACATTGTGAATGATGAAAAAGTTAACAGAGTGAATAAAGCTTTTGTAGATATACAAAAGGAACTTGCCCATTTCTCAAAAGGCCTTTCCCTTGAACCTTTGCAGAAACAGCTGATTCCTCAGCAGTGTCATAAAAACGAACCAGTTAATGTTGATGAAGCGACAAGATTAATGGCTCAGTTGTAATACACTGGAGATACAGCAGATACCCCAAAAAGACCAATAAATTAAATGTTTTATACAGTTTTATTTTTAAAAACCTTGTTAATGTACAGGCATTGGCACATTTTTAAAACAAACTACATAAACAGATCTTTCCTATAATCTGAAAGTGGAATGTCAGAAGTCAACAAAATGTGATAAACTTAAAGTGCTAAAACAGAAGGCATGTCACAAAATGTGTTCACTGAAACAGTTAATATATCCTACTTTACATCCTTCACTTTATAAGTGGCAGTGAATGTGTGTTTGGACTGGAGGACACGCAGAAATATGGACAGTTTCGTGGCAGTAAAAAAATACAAGACAAACAAGTGATGAGCTGTTGGCCAACTTTTTTTTTGTTTTAGATGGCCGTAAGTCTACTTTAACTTTCCTCTCATAAGAGGAAAAAAAAAAAAAAAAAAAAAACAGAAGGATTCAGAATTGGAGGAAAAGCTGAAATCCCAGAATATAATTACTTGAGGGTGGAGGGGATTTGTAGGTATTAAATCACCTTTTCCCCTGAAAAAGGCCTTTGTTCTTATGGTTGAAAAGAGCCCTTTGTTTTTATGGTTGAAGTTTTGTGAAGTAAAAAAGAAAGTATTAGAGAACACTTCAGAATCAGTGAACTAAAAAGATGTTACATTCATTATTTTAAATACTTAGGTTATTAAGAAGTCTAAAATGTTACAGTTAGAGGTAGATAACAGTCCCGAGAGTCCATGGAATCTAATAATTTAGTATCTGGACATCAAACAGATCACAAACTCCTTCATTATCATCTAAATTAAAGTTGTAGTCATCTGCCGGGGTAGGAGAAAGCCGTAAGAGAGGAAACACTGCAAGCAAAACAAATTCAGTGTTAAACATGGTTTTTACATATAGTTAATGATGTTTAACAAAATACTCTCAAATACATCTATCCAAATTAAATTACATATAAGAATATTTTACAGTGTATAATAGAAAAAGTAATAAATTAATTTTGACTCGTAAAAAAAAAGATAGATATCCATCTGACTTGGCTAAATGGAGTTCACATTGAGAAAAAAAGCTCTTCAAAGGTATATTAAGTGAAAACCTCAAATCCAGTCTCCAGCTATTTTGTGACTGAAATCCGGGTTTGTTTAAATAATGTTTATATTGCTATCTGTTAGGGATTCAAGCAGCAGAAACTCTCTAATATATTAAGATGAGTGGAGGTACTCCTCCTCTAAAATATCCTTCTCTATATACTTTTCATCTTTTACCAAGCATTTATTTTACATCTATTGCATATAATAACTCATCTAATTTTGTGGATAAAAAGAAGTTAGGGATATATTTCATAACCTCAGAATAGAAGGTAAGTGGAAGAAATTGAAAAGTCTGTAACAAACTGTAAAATAATATTTCATAAGTGCTAAAATAGAAATGTTAATAAAGTTGTACAAAATTCTGTTTGGGATATTTGGTGAATGTACATTTGAACCCAAACACTAAATAATATGCCAACCCTTGAATTACAATTAAAGGAGTACTTTTCAAATGATTGCTCCCTCTTGCTGGTCCATAGAAGCTGAATCTGGTAAATTACATGGTAAAAAAAAACAACAGTATTATTGCATTTCCTACTCTGTCTTTTGGCATTCACAAGGAAAGATTAGAGCTACATTATTAAAGTAGTTGGTGTTAACTTCACCTTAAAAGTTACTTATTTTAGTGCAGAGTGCAGAATATTATGAGAGGAGGTTTAAAACACATTAAATCTATCAATTATATTGTTGACTATAATATACTGCAACTATTTTTGATCTGAATGATCCAAGCACATTCTCTATACTTTGTTAGTTTAATCTTGCCAAATTCACTGAAAAACAATCAAAATAAGATGTGTTTTTTACCCTTTGAGTGAATCCATGGCATTGCACTTTATACATCAATCTATATTTGTGCCTTCCCTGGAGACAAGGACAGTTCATCTTTGTGATCCTGATGCATATTTATGCTTCATTGTTTTGTATCCAATTAAAATGTATTATAGATTTCACAGGGAAGTAATTTGTTTTGTTCTTATATTTGTGAAAAAAAAATATGTGTTTAATCTTTCCATAATGCTTAATTGGAAGAAGTTCCTTAGAGAATGTAGCTTTTTACAAAAAAGGAGTTTGGATGGATGGAACTACCATTACTGAGGTTTTGAAGGAATGAAATACTCTGTCAAATCATGTCAAGGAAAAAAATTCCCAAATTCAGAAATGCTATATATGTAATTCTCCCAAAAATTGATTTAATGTCTCCAGAACTTTGAATATATCATCCCTATCCAGCAGTCTTCAAAAAGAGTTATCATTTGAGCTTTTCTTACTTTATGATAAACAGCACAACTAATTACTATATTAGAGAATTAGTGGTATTGCTGACAAAAAGGAAGAGATCAATTATATTAATATGAATAGTTTTTACATTTTTCCATAAATAATTTGTACAAAACCATGAAAACTTTGATATATGATCATTATCACATCCAAATGCCATAGAAACCATACTTGTGGTTATTCGTAAGGAAGTGGTAGTATAATTCTTCCAAAGCATCTTCTATTGATTAGCTATGTCCTCAGGTGACAATTCTAATATTTAATAAGAGAAAAAAGTTGGTTCTGGTTAAAAAATTAACTGCTACTACTGCCACTTTTTCTATAATTAACCTAATATTTATTGAACACTTAAAACATTCTTAATCACTTAGTATGCATTATATCATTAATGTTGAAAATATTCATATATGTTAAGCAAATTATTTTCCTCATTTTTTATATTAGACAACTTACCAGGGAATTTAATGAAACTGCTCAATGTTATGAATGAGTGGTGGAATCAGAATTCAACAAACGCTGATGTGTCTTTAGACATCTAGTGTTGTACCAAGTAGAGTACCATGACACCATTTTCTTTCTGTACGTGTTTTTTTTTCCCTAGAGTTATTTATATCAATTTTTATTTCTTGGGTATTTTATATTGCTATTTATAATTCTTCCAAACTTTCTATCAGAATACAATTTCCCACATGGCGAAGCACATCAGGTGATGTATCAGTTCCAATTAATTTTCTTTCCTGGAATCGGTCCTCTTTCGCGCTCCATTCTTTTGCCCCTATTTGTACTCTCATTCTGTAGGCCAGCAGCACAGCTGGCTCTTCCTCTTACTGATCTTCTTTGGATCAGTTTTCTCCTTCATTTTGCTAGAAAGTGGCTTCCAGAAAAGTATTGATACTGATTTGCATAAATGGTACATTTTTGAGATATTGTAAGCTTGAAAATATTTCTATTTTACCATCATTTTTGATTGAAGTTTTTAGTGAATAAAGAAACCCAGTTGAAAATTATTTTCCTTTAAAATTTTGAAGGCATTGTGCCTTTGATGTCTCACTTCTGATGGTTTTGTTGGGGAATCAAATGCCATGTTAACACAATTGTTTACATGTATTTATCTATTTCCCCCACTCTTTATTAGCCTCTTCATTCTGTCTTCACTTTTCAGAAGTTTGAAAATATGTGTTGGAAGACAATGCTCCATGAATATTTTTATATCAATCAAGATTTACTGAACAAGGATTACTAACAAACAAGGTTAAAGGTATGCTTGAATGGCAAACATGCACTGGGCATTAGAAAATGCCTATTTCTCTTGGGGGATTTACAGTCTTCTCTTTCCTGAAGCCATTTCTTCCGATTACAAAGAGATGAAGTAAAGGTAGATTTTCTCCTTTTTCTAGAGAGGATTGGTTTATTTTCCAAAACAAAGGCCTTTCTCACTTTCCTCTCTCTCTATCTCCGAAGAGGTAGGAGGGCCAGATGTCTCATCCTCCCCATACAAGCTACAAGAATTTGGAGGGTTTTTTTTTTTTCCCCCTTGTGGTACAACACTACTGCACATGCAGGTTAGAGCAGGCCCTGTCCCATGAATCATTCTTCAGGGAATTAGGATTTGGGGACCTGGTATTTTGATGCTACTCTGGCTGCTGCCATGAGTAATAAAAGGTTCAGTCTCTCACGTGGAGATCTGCAGGCCGACCAACACTTAAGTGGCTAAAATCTCAGACCTTCACGATTTCAGGTGCAGCAACATGCTCAATGTGAGTCACTTGTTCATTATTTGTTCTGGATACTCTCAATCTAGAAATCTATTTCATTTAGTCTAAGATACTTCCTTGTATTGGCTTTTGATGATTCTCTTTCCTCTGTTTTCTCTGTTCTCTCTTTCTGTGATTCCTATTAGCTGTAGGTTAGACCAGACTCTACTTTTCTTATTTTTCTTTCCAATTTTTCACTTTTTTCTTATGTTTTTTATTTGTTTGTTTTTGTTTTGTGTTGTTTTGTTTTTGCTGTTAGGGTTGCTAAAATTTCTACAGTATGACTTGTATTTAATGTTCTTAGAGATACAAAAAAACAAGATTTTTATATTTTGACTCATATTTTAATTTTAAAGAGGTTTCTTTTATGTCCTCTCTTTTTAAATAGCTAATTATTGTTTCATGAATAAAAATATCTCACCATTTTGAGTATAAAATATTCTCAGATGTTATCTCTATCTTTTTATTCAAGAACTTTTTTTCTGTTTGATATTGTTTCTCACTGTCATTCCTCAAATCTCCAAATATTTTTGAATGTCCACTCCTATGAGATTCTGAGGCACTAAATAGCTAATCATAAACTTTATGGAAAAATGGGGGTGGGCCAGGGACTTGGCAATTGTTAGGATTTCTGGACAGGGGATTCCCCAACGTGAGCATGTATTAATCTTTTCTCTGGGACCATTAGCTGACTGATGTGAAGTGATGGAAGGGAGTGGATGTTAATATGTGACTATCATCATCCTAAAACTGAGCAGCCCCAAGGAAGCTGGAGATTTTAATCATTCCATGTAAAGATTTTCATTTAACCCCACTCTTTCAGAACTTGCTTTTTCCCTGTTTCTCTGTGATTGAGATCCCTGAGTCTGGACCCCTCTAGCTAAGTTTCTTTATAGAATATGCCAGGCATTGAGAGTAAATAGTCAATTTG